TGACAGTGATAACGGTGAAGGTGGTGATGATTATGATGATGATAAAGATTTTGAAAATGATAACAACAGTGATTACGATAATAATGAACAGAAATGTGATGGCAGTAGTGATAACGGTGCACAGATAATATATTACAGTGATAAGAACGATGATAACAGTGTTGATAGCGGTGCAGAGAAAAGTGATAGTGATTACGGTGGCAGTTATCCAGATAGTGAAGTTTATGCTTTAATGGATGAACTTTACGACGTGCAAGATAGCGATAACGATGTCGACAACGAAAGTTATCATGACAGTGATAACGGTGAAGGTGGTGATTACATCAGGGATTATGACGATGATAAAGATTTTGAAAATGATAACGGCAGTGATAACGAGGGTGAAATGAGTGATTTAGACAGTGATAATGAAAGCGTTAACGGTGTAATTGAAATCTCAGATGAGGAGCGAGCAATAGAAACACGAACATTAAAAACAATTGTAGAATGCTGGACGAGAACGGGATTCAAATACACTACATACAGGAATGACGAACCTATATATTCATGGGTGAATTACGAGGATGACTATTCAGTACACACCCTGAAGTAAGACAACTGTATGTACTTTTAACACAAGGGATGTGTATAAAAATTGTATAGGGAAGACATCAAAGTATATATATATTGTGTTTCATAAGGTAATAAATGGGACAACAAAATAATAAAAGTAATATTAACCTAACATTGTATTAAACTGAATTTCATTTAACTCATGAAACATATTTAATTTGTTAAGATTTGCCAGTTTTGGTTATAATTATTACAGGTTTATCAAAAATATTCAAAATACTTGAATTCTTAAGCTTCTTTTTCTGGCGGGAGTGTCGTGAATTTCACGAATATGTTATGAATTTGCTCCAATTTGCTGCAATTTGATAAATTGCATAGATTATTGCTCCTATTCATGTGTTTCATGCTTTTGTGTATTTTACTTTGGGCGGGAATTTGTATTGATATATTTTGCTCCTATTCATGTATTTCATGCTTTTGTATATGTTACTTTGGGCGGGAATTTGTATTGATATATTTTGCTCCTATTCATGTATTTCATGCTTTTGTATATGTTACTTTTGGCGGGAATTTATGATATAAAAAGGGAAACATGTGGTATTCTAGGATTATTATTATTTTAGAACTAAACGTGGAAAGTACAATTATTTAATTAAAGTGTTTGAATATAAAAGTATTGTGTTTACAAAATAAAATAGTAGAAAAGTGAAGGAATTGCTTTTGTTTTACAATATTAAAAGAAACAAAATCCGATGTGGTAAATTTCACCACAAACAATAAGGGGCTGTTTTCAAAGTTAGCCTTAATTCTTTAAAGTATATTGGTTGATTTTGCAAAATATAAAATACTTTTTACCATGTTAATTACCATTGAAAATGTCAAGTATCATATTTGCTATTAAATTTGGCATTATTTAACAAATAAATGCCTACAATAATCATACAAGAGGGCCATGATGGCCCTGAGGTCGCTCACCGGTATAGCGGGGCCAGTTTAAACCTCAGGGCTTTTATTTGAACAAACTTGGAAGACACCCATTAGAAGATGTTTCATGATGTTTAGTTTTTACTACACACATATAATGAAAAACAATGACCTGCCCCCCCTCCGGCAGGGCCAATTGTAATCCAAGGGGTTTTATTTGATCAATCTTGGTAGACACCCATAAGAAGATGTTTCATGCTTAATATCTAAGCTCTAGCTCATTAGGTTTTTTAAAAGAAGATTTTTTATGTTCTTACTTTACAAATATAGTTAAAAACAATGACACCCCAGTGGCGGGGCCAGTTTTGACCCCAGGGCTTATATTTGAACAAACTTTGTAGACACTTACTAGAAGATGTTTCATGCTTAATATCTAAACTCTAGCTGTTTAGGTTTTTTCAAAGAAGATTTTTAAGTTTTTGCTATAGACATATTAGGAAAATCAATGACATCGGGGCGGGGCCAATTTTGACCCCAGGGCTTTTATTTGAACACACTTTGTAGACACTCACTAGAAGATGTTTCATGCCTAATATCTAAACTCTAGCTATTTTGGTTTTTTCATAGAAGATTTTTGAAGTTTTTGTTATACACAGGAAAATCAATGACCCCCGGGGCGGGGCCAATTTTGACCCCAGGGCATTTATTTGAACAAACTTGGTAGACACCCATTAGAACATGTTTCATGCTTAATATCTTATCTCTAGCTCTTTGAGTTCTTTAAAAGAATATTTTTTAAGTTTTTACTATATGCATATAGGGAAAATCAATGACCCCCTGGGGCGGGCCCAATCTTGACCCCAGGGCTTTTATTTGAATAAACTTGGTAGACACTCATTAGAAGATGTTTCATGCTAAATATCTTAGCTCTAGCTCTTTGGGTTCTTAAAAAGAAGATTTTTTAAGTTTTTACTATATGCATATAGGGAACATCTATGACCCCCTGGGGCGGGGCCAATTTTGACCCCAGGGCTTTTATTTGAACAAACTTTGTAGACACTCACTAGAAGATGTTTCATGCTTAATATCTAAACTCTAGCTTTTTTGTTTTTTTCATAGAAGATTTTGAAGTTTTTGTTATACACATATAAGGAAAATCAATGACCCCCAGGGCGGGGCCAAATTTGACCCCAGGGCATTTATTTGAACAAACTTGGTAGACACCCATTAGAACATGACACTTACTAGAAGATGCTTCATGCCAAATATCTAAGCTCTAGCTCTTTGGGTTTTTTAAAAGAAGATATTTAAAGTTTTTTCTTTCGGTTGCCATGGCAACCAGAGTTCTGCATGGAATTAAATTCTTTGAACAATTTTTAAAGGTGACCACCAAAGGAACATTCCTGTGAAGTTTGGATGAAATTGGCTTAGTGGTTTATGAGGAGATGTCATTTAAAGTAAAAGTTTACGGACGGACGGACGGACGACGGACGGACGACGGACGGACGCCGGACGAAAATCGATCACAAAAGCTCACCCTGTGACTTTGTGACAGGTGAGCTAAAAATAAAAATCAAACAATTTTTCTTTCCAGAAGGGACCAGAGAGATACATGAATAATGTTAAAATAAAAAAGAAAGCAAAAACGTTGCCCCTTTTGGGGTTTGAACCCATGCCCTTCAGTTTCAATGCAGTTGACAGTAATTCCAGCATATTTGAATATCCTTGAGGGTGAAGGTAATGTATTAGGGGGATCTTACCTTAATGTCGCAAAATCAACGCTAAATATCTCAATCAGTTTACTGTCCAGTAAACTGTAAAGTACTACCAAAATGTTATGGCCACTTAGATGTCTGTTTCAAACTTTGTAATGTGCTCTAGCAATGTTGAATATCGCATCGCCGTTAAATGTTGCAAGTATGACTGTAAATGTCACAATCGCCCTGACGGTAAATATTGAACTTTCAACGCCGTTAAATGTCAGTTTTATGATCCTTGTTACCGTCCCGCAATCGTTAAAGTACTCCCAAAATATTTGTCTACTGTGATGTCATGTTACTACCTTTGTGAAAAGCTGTGAATGCACTCCTGATAAATGTTTTTATTACCCTTCCAGATTTTTTCCACCTTTTTGATTGGATATTGATCCGTCGAAAAAAATTGAATTTACCGAGCCAGACGGTATATACACACTGAATATACCCGTTGGGTACCCCACGTTGTAAACAACATGCGTTGTGGCGATGCGCGTACGGTTGGATTTTACGCGGTATGAATTCCGATATACAAGCACTTTTAAAATGTCAAATAAAAAATATTTACCAAAAGAATGTAATGATAAATATTCTCATCAGTATTGAAAACAAAAATGGCCTTGCCAATACTTGATATTAATTACAAAAAAGTTTCTTTAACAGACTACTCATTTTCTCTGGTTTACATTCGTTATGTACGAAAGCAAATACGTCATGTATTTATGTGACGTCATGTTGTGGTGAAGAGGTACCCTAAAGGGAATCTTATTTCGACGTTTCAATTGAAACAGCAATGATTTATTTTAAAATCATACTCGGCATGGGAAGGGTAATAAAATTGTTATTTTGGTTTTGGAGTGATATATGTGGATATATTACCTGCCAAGATAAAATATCACCCTCGCCTAACGGCTCGGGTGATATAAAATCTTGCCAGGTAATATATCCACATATATCACTCGAAAACCAAAATAACATATAATGTTCATGTACGAAAACTATTCTGAAACTGAACATCATTTTCATAACCATACAGGGCCCACTCTGTCTTCGGCTAAATGTTGCTTATTGAGCAACAATGTTTTCAAGTTACTTACCAATTTTTTCTCATTTGAAACTTTTTTGGTTGTACAGGGTGCAAAATAACAAAAAAAGCAAATTTGGCATCACAAAATTTTTGGCCAGTGCAAGCCCTGCCATTCTTTTCCTTTACCTCATCATCAACATAATCATCTACATCAACATCATCATTGTCCCCATAACTGTTATCATACATTACACTTTTATAGTCAATGTTATCATACAACGTATTTTTATGGTAACTGTCATCATACATCACACTTTTATAGTAACTGTTATCATACATCACACTTTTATGGTAACTGTTATCACACATCACACTTTCATGGTTACTGTTATCATGCAACACTTTTATGGTTACTGTTATCATACAGCATTATAGTTGTAACTTCTTAACAGCGATTTTGTTTTGTCTTATTTTATAGCCAATATTCGGTCATATTCCCCATTGAAAATAGTATGAGTCAATAAGTCATCAGTATATTATGTGATGCTCTGTTTTCTAATGTTCAACAAAGCATCGCTAAAATACCCAATGCCATGGGTATGGGTGATGTTCCCTAAATCCTGGGAAAAAACGACTCTTTTAAACAGCACACATTCCATTACAATGGTTCATTTCTTGGATAGTGTGTATCATCATCTTGGAACTGATGTGATAAAATATTTTATGTTTCAATTATTCTTCAGATGAAACAAGGCCGGACAGACAGAAGAATGGAAACATTTTTCAGAGGTTTTTAGAGTGGACACGTTATAAGCCGATGAAAAGAAGTAAGATTTTACTTTAATACGCTATGCATGTGGTTTTCCAGAATTGGGATAAGTTAAACCTTTGTTAGAGACAACCTCCGATTTAAAACCACACTGTAAATAAAGACCACTTTTGACAAACCTTTATTGAAAAAGTACATTCCGTTTAAAAATTTTTGTCTATAAAGACCATGCATGTTCTCTTTTTGGATAGTGCTTATTTACCAGTTTGACTGTACTGTGTTATAACGGAGAAAAACAATCGAGCTATTGTTTTCCGTTCCCGTCCGTAACAATATTGTATCGTTATGTTTTGTTGGAGTTGTCCTTACGATAAGTCGAACGCGATAACGTTTACATTAATCGGTCATACCATTATCATATAATGGGATGTGCAAGTTATTCAGTTATAACACTTTACATTTTTATTACAATATATAGAATAATAAAAGTGGATACTGAGTAACGTAGTGGTTAGAGAGTTCAGATTATTAGCAGAAAGTTTAGATTTTTTCCAGGTTCAAATCTGCAATTTAGCAATATTTTTTTGTGTTTGTATGGTTTTTACTTTCAAAAAACATTTTCATATTCTCTTATAAACCTGTGATTTATAATTTTGTACAATTTAAAGTAAAACTTACAACGGTTAAATAGCAAAATTTAATGTATTTTGATTTTAACAGTCATTGAACAGATTAAATAGTATTGTCAATTTTATGCTATTTAAAACTTTGAATTCAATTTGCTACATTTTTTTTTACGATTTTGGCTCAATTGTATATTTATATATTTGAATATTTTCTCACTCTAATCACGACTGTACGGGTTGCCTCTAACTTAACCGGTTGGAAGCAAGTGTTTGTAAAACCAAATGTTCTTAAATACTGGTAGTATTGTATGAACTAAATTCACAAGAAGCTAAAATCCAGATCTTTGAAAAAGAATATAAAAAACAAAAAATATAAGAAAAAAATGCCTCTTCCAGGAATCGAACCAGGGTCTTTACACTGATGAAGCCAACACTCAACCACTACGCTAATACTATAATATGATAATAATAATAATAATAATAATAATCTTTTATTATAGTGACATGTGTTTTCGTACATGAAAATTACATATATACAATGTAAATAAAGAACACCCGGCCTTATAGGCCTATAGGTCACCTTATCAACAGTGTAAAATGCACGTGAATATATACAAATGGAAAATTGAAATAATAAGAGTCTGTGTAACATAATTACATATAACAGCTGTTTAGAGGCAAAATTAACGTTTAAACATAAATAACAAATGACTACTTTAAACATTAGGAATAAGGGTTCTGTATTAAACTTAATTTGTATAGAGTCAGTATAAACGCTTATTATTATAAGAGTTGTCGTGATACCGTAACATTTAGTTGAAATTTGTCATAGCTGTTTCTCAAATTACAATATATCCGTATTATAAATTAGATAAAAGTTAATACAAATGACCTTTTTCAAGAAAAATGTGGGTAATATTTCGATAATGTGACATGAGGTTCATATATATGTACAACTTTACACAGACAAAATAAAGGATGAAAATCTAAGGTATTTACTGATGAAAATCACCGCATACTAGTATATAACATACTACTTCTAATATAATAAGCATTAACAATAAATTTTGCACATTTTCTAGGATGAGTTTGAACCAAGAAAACACAAGTTTGTCTTTGTTTGATTTGCGCATAAATTCATCACAGTTTAAAATGTTTCCAAATATAACAGATCTTGTGTTACTATAAAGAGCACATTCAACAAATAAGTGAGTATCGTCTTCAACTAGTCGGCTATTGCACAACTTACACAGTCTTTGTTCAGGGGATTCACCCACATACCGTCCGGTTTCAACACTAAGTGGAAGTATTCCGGTTCTGAATTGAGCAAATAAAGCCCGTTCATTTCTTTTTAAGTTCAACATATTCCTCACAAGTAAATTCAGTTTCATATGTTCTATATGTTCTCAACTTTGATACTCGTTCGTAATCTCTAGACAAAACTGGTTCATGTTTTCTTTGGCTAAGTCCGTTGAGACGGCGAGTTTACTTTTGTAATACTCCGTTAGGTGAAGTCTAGACATAACGGTTTTAATATCCCTGCACCAGTTACTGTTATATGCCGAGCTGTAATCTCTATTGAATGCACGCTTGGTTAGTCTATTCTCATCAAGTTTTACCAGTCTATTCCAATAGCCATCTACGGTAAATGCTGGGTAGCCATCCAATTTCACCGAGTAACCCTAATATAGGTGTAAATCGATGTATACCTAAACAGTACCGTATCGCCCTGTGGTGAATATATTCCGCTGATTGGTAGTGTTTATATCCCCAAATGGAAGCACAGTAATCCGATATCGGTATCACACAGGAATTGCATAGTTTTTCGTAAGTTTTAAATCCAGTTTGTTTCAGATTATGAATTTTATTTATAATAGATCCGAGAGCTCTCCCGGCACTTTTTGAAAGTATTTCACAATGAAAACTATAGTCGCGTTTCTCATGCATGATAACACCGAGATACTTATATTTGTCTACAATTTCCAGCACATTCAATCCAATTTTAGATTCATATTCTGTCCGTTGTGTGCGGCCTTTTCGAAAGTGTATGACTTTAGACTTTTCTGTGTTTACAAGAACCCGCCATCGTTTGCACCAGTCATGCATTTGGTTAAGCATTATCTGTAGATCTGCTTCCGACTTTGCGATAAGGACTATATCGTCGGTATATAGCAACATTGAGACCGAAGTGTCATCGATTTTGACCCCAAGGTCAAGGTTGTTGGTCATTCTAGAAGACCGAGAAGAGCGTCGGTGAGAGGTTGTCTCCCTGTTTTACCCCGTTGTCACACTGGAACCACTCCGTTAATCGTCCATTAATACGCACACATGACACTGTATGATTGTATATGCTTTTTATAGAATTGTATAATTTTCCATCGACACCATTTAGCAAAAGTTTATACATCAGCATCTCACGGTCGACAAAGTCAAAGCATTTGAGTAGGTCTATGAAAGCAGTAATTACAGAGTTATGGTCCCTTATAATACTATCTAATGTGAAGACATGATACTCACATGAACGGCCACGTCTAAATCCATTCTTCTCTTCGGCTAGAATATCGTTGTCGTCTAAGTACTTGATTAGTATTTTGTTAATGAAAGAGCTGTACAGTTTGCTAACGCAGGATAACAAACTTATACCCCTGTAGTTCATTGGTAGACAGCGTCGCTAGTTGGATTCTTTTAGATCGGGCAAATAATCGATTTCCGCCATAAAGTCGGTATAATACTTGTATCCATTATCAGTTGGAAAAGTTGCTGTAGCACCACTATTATGTCAGGAAAGTTTAGGACATCGTATGGAATTTGGTCGAATCCACAGGTTGACATTGACTTTGCCGTCATAACGATATTTGTTATTTCATCGACTGTTATGTTACTGTTCAACTGTTCATTTTATGAGTATAACGGATCTAACATGTTTAGTTCCAATAATTGTTTATGCACTTTGTTACGGTCGAAAAAATCTTCGTCAAAGTCAGTATTATCGCTCGTATGGTATAAATTCTCAAAATCCGACCTCCATCGCTCGAATACCGAACTTTCATCGTGACACACTCGGCCGTTGCTTTCTATGATTTCAATAGGAATGTGTTTACATTTTCTAGGCCCAAGTTTATTTATTTTATTCCAAAAGTCTTTTGGATTATTTGTTGACGTGTCCTCAATGTCAAGGGCAATCGCGGTCCGCAATTCCTTGTCAAAAGTATTTCTTGCAACTATATACTCTCTTCTAGTTGCGATTCTCGCCGTGCAAGTACCATTACACTTGGAAAAAAGTTTTTCTTTGGCGCTCAAATCACTCCATAGTTCCGTTAAACGATCATTCCAAAATGGCTTTTTATTTTTGTATCTTTTTCTTACATGTTTTGAGTTACTGAATTTTGGCAACGAGTTATTCATTTCGGTTCTGATACAGGAGCACAGTTTCTCATAAATAATATCTACCTGAGTTTGTGTTTCCCTGCTACTCTCAATACTTGATATAATTTCCAACAGAGCCAGACGGGATAAATCGCTTGACATGAAGTCCACGGGAATTCGTTGCAAGGAATTCGTTGCAAGTTATTGTAACTATGGTTATTTTATTAAATCTGGGTTCTTCTTTTATTTTAAATTGTAAATGTGTCACTGTTCATTTCAAATACAGTCTATCATAAAATCACAGCAGTATACACCATTACAGTAGAACAAAGTCGAATAAAGTCAGTGTCCTGCAAATACACAATAAAATTAAATGACAAATAATACAATACTGTCTAAAGCCTGAAAACTATCATGTACATAATATTACAACAACAATGTTACAAGTACATAATCAAGAAGTAGTAATATACATACAATGTATATCAAAATACTCATGTGTGCCAAGTGGTCCATTTATCATTCATCACTTAATATAATCAACATTATCCACATATCTCAATATTCTATGCTGAACATAAAATACTCAATTTATACAAAAAGGTATTTACATCATAAATACAATGCACAAATACATAGTTTATAAACTTACCAAGTTATGTCCCTGCTCACACAAACAACAATCTCTCCCGTGAACTGTGTACACCTTTCAACTGTTAAACTGCAATCAAAATAAGAATCATGTGCACAGGTTTCAGGAATGTGACATTGTTAAGCTGTTATGTTCTTATTAATAATGGTTAGAGTAAATACTGCCATTTTGAAGTACATGTACAATCGCTTTTTGTCAATAAATAAAATAAGTCGCAGACGCTTACAGAAAGCATTTAAGTTTAAATGCTAACAACTCCACATGAAGAACAAAGTATACTGCAAATATGAATACATTAAACAAATAAAATACATACCAAAGTAACCCACAAATAGTTAAAACATTTCCATTTCAAAATCAATCAACATGTCTTCCACAAGTATCAAAAGCCGCGCTCTACTTGAGTGAGTGATT